TCCTATAATCTGAGAGTTTTAATAGTGAGCTAAGAAAACCAGCAGCAGATGAGAAACCATTTAAGGGTGTGAGCCTGCATGCAATGTCAAATCTGACAGAGGGAAAAAGCAAAATCACTTGACTCTTTCCATCAGGTAGGAGGAGGAGTGATGCACCAGGATAGACTAAGGTATAAGAAGAAACCTCACCATGCCCTACAATGTTCTTTAAATGTCAGAGATCTTGCCCAGGAAGCCTTCACTGTGTGTTGAAAACAGTTAAGAGTTAAGATTTGCTATGATGTCTCACCATGGCAAAGCTAAAAATTTAAACCAATTTTTGAAGCTTGCCAGGAAGACCTTAACTATCTTACGGTTTTGTTGTGTTTTATTAAAGATCTGCCTTAGGGAAAAAGAATTCCATAAGTTAGAGATCTTAATATGGAAGATAAAAAGCAGACATTTCTATTTCAGCATTTATAGGCTGAAGAGCAGTCAAGTCTTTCAGAAGTTTTGATCAAGTTTGGACAGATGCATTTTGCATTGCAGTTACTTCTGTTCTGTTGCTAATTTTTTTGTCTTGAAAATGGATTCCTTTTCCTTAAAAATTTAAATGTCCTTCCAATTCTCATGTTAGAATAGCAAGGTAAATGAAGAATTTATGGAACTAATTCCCAATACAGCAAGCACAGAGCCTAATACAGGCCCAAAATATTTGTAAGTACCTACTGAAGTTAAGGGACTTAATTTCTAAGTTCACCAGACTGATGAGGCTGGACAGTCTCTTTCACAAAAGGAAAAACAAAGGGCCAAGAAATGCGACAAATATATTCAAGTTCAGTGAATTTTTTATTACCAAAAACCCCAAACCCCAAAGACAACAAAAACATGCACATAGGCCTTGCTGTTGGATTTTTTTTATTTATTATTATTCAGCTACTGCTTTTGCTTCTCTTCAATTACCCTTATTATACTTCACTCGTACTAATTAACTTCTCACACGCACATACACACATACACATATATATATACATATATATATGTGTATATATATATATATATATATATATATATAAACTGGGGTTAGAACAAGCTGTCTTTTGTTTTAAAAAAGCTCCTGGTATCAATAGTGTTTTTAAAAGGCTTAGAATTTATTTCCAAGGCCTGCATGGTCAGCTGTTCTTCCAGCATGATGAGGTCTGACACTTATTCACACTAATGAAGTGCCAGAACTCAGCTGCTCCCAGGGAACACAGGGCAGAGAAATAGTTTGCTCTGTGGGACACAAGCTCATTTTACTGGGTGATTTTGAATTGAAACCAGTAAGATGTGATAGACACAGGTTGTTTTCTTGCTGAGTAATGCAGAGTAGAAGATGCTGTGCACATGTTCTTTTATCACAACTTCCCAGTGCTCCAGTCCTACCTCACAGGACTCTTTATTTCTCCAAATATTGAGTTTGCAGAAGCCTGCCAACCCTGGCTAAATCAAAACAATCTGAAGCTTTCCCACAGGCCTTGTTCACTGATGTGAAAGCCTGCTTTGATACTATCAAAAACAAAGGACAGATAATAAATACTAAAAAGCCTGATAGAAGACACCACAAAAAAACACAAAAAAAAACCCCTGAAACACAAAAAAAAAAAAAAAAAAAAAGACTGAATGGAAATAACTGCTCCTCTCAAACAGTTTTGCCATATCTCAAACAGATATGGCAAAAGGAAATAGTAAGAACTGTGTTTTTCAGCTCTGGAGAAAAGACATTGAAGTGTTCACACATGGAAAAAGTCTCCACAGGGGATACAAAATGTTGTTACATTTGGGACAGGAAAATAACCAAAGGGTTTTTGATTGTGACAAAAGGTCAGGGCCTGAAGGACAGATTTTGTTGAACAAACAGTCTGAAGAGTGTGTAGTTCTGCCATCACTGGATGTTTTCTGAAAGAATTAATGCAAGACTGCGAAGATTGACAGAATTTGTGAAGACTGGAATACAGAAGCCTGATCTTGAGGTCACCTGGCAATTTTATTCCTTTCTACCTAATAAATAGATCTACTAATCCAACATCACAGAGGGAGACTCTCAACTGAATATTTTTGAACTCCTTCACATCTGCACATTGTGTTGGTAAATAATTCAGTGCCAAAGGTAGAAAATTAGTGCATTGCAGAAGCTGCAGCCTTGCTCCACTGCTGAGCTGCTTTCTTTACTGATTGATGAGGCAGTCCTGCAAACAGAATTATGTAGTGCTTTTTCCCCACTTGAGATAATGGAAGTCCTTCAAAACTGACCCAGATCTCTACTCAAATGGATCTCTGTCAAATGGATTTAGCCCACAGGAAGAAAGGATATATTCTGAAATTCAGACATGGATCAACTCAATAAAGAAGGTAAAAGACTTGCAGGCTCATTATGGTGAAATCTCATTTCTTAGTGGCAATTCATGAAGTCATTTTCTCCTTTGTTGCTCATCTAGATAATCATACTGAAATATAGCAAAGAACAAATTATGAGTTAAACTGCTCAAAGAAAATGATATATGACTTCTTTTAACCTGGATAGCATGAACTGCTTAAAGTATCTAGAAGGAAACACAGTCAGGGATATTCTGTATGCACAGAGAATGATTACAAATCAGTATCTTCTCAAAAGCTGTGAACATGCCTAATGACCATCCAGTACAACTGTTTGTCAGCAGGCACAGCTCCACCAGAGGTATTGGGGTCACACTTCACTGGCCAAGAGCTGGATTTGCCCTACAGATTTTAATGGCACCCACAGAATCTGCTGTGGTTGTCAGTCTAAACTTGCCAATCCCGACAGCCTCACCTTGTAGAAGTTATTCCTAACACTTCTTATTTCTGTTTGCTTTCAGCTGAAAGGAAGATGGTCTGTGCACCTGCTGAGACATTGAGACACATGCTGTGGTTTGGAGCTATCCACACAAAAACAGAATTTCTAAGTTTACCGAAGTCAGCTATAAACTTATAAAGGCCTTTGACTGCCTTTCTGGGAAACTGATGTTTAAAAAGGGGGAAATAATTACTTTAACTGCTGTATATGAGACCTGATGTCTTTTGATGCCTTTAAACACTACACCAGTATCAGCAATGAACACCTGATAATGGAGGCAAGTTGTTTATAGATGTGCTGTACAGGCAGCTACAATTCCCTCAGTAGTGACAGCAGTTCACATAAATACATCAGAGATTTAATAGGCCCAAAATCCATTTCTTCAGCTACCAAGAGAGAGAAAAAATGCAGATTCCTCCTAGTCAGCTTTCTATTAGAATTGCAATTTTAACCCTGCAGAGTCAAAAGACCCCAAGACATTAACTCCACAGAATAAAGTTATTGCTGAAGTTAGGGGATCTTTTTCTGGGAAAAAGATGGTTCCCTTTAGAATCAATGATAAACTGAAAGGGAGTGGGTACAAACACCATGGCAAAAGCATTGTGATAAAATTTTTGTACACATTTAGGTGATGTCACCACCAGAACTTGCATGCAAGGAATTAAATGCCTACAAAGCACCAGTGTGGAAGAACTCCCCAAGAATCTCAGAAGTGGGGCACCTCTGTCATACTACTGCTACAGTATGGGGAATGAGCACATTGAGTTTCCAAAGCTACATTCACTTTAAGACAACTGTGCTTAAAACTTAAAACTAGGTCAATAAACCTGGCTCAAATGCTAGCTTCCAATAAACTCCATAGCAAAGGTGGTATTTTCATTATTTGGATTGTGAAACTATAGACAAAAAAAGGGAAGCAGAACTCCATGATGACCCTGCAGCATTGTATTTATGTCATTTTCATGGGAGTACACAAGTGTGTGAGCACATTTTTGTCTCAGATATTTCTGTAAAGGAAGTTAAGAATCGCAGAGCACCATACTCTGTATGGTGAAGTATCCTTTGCTATATAATGTAGCTAGTAATATGAAATAATGTAAGACAGAGTGCTACAAAAAAATCATAGCCATAATGAAGCAGAGGTACTTCTCATGTCCTTTTACATGTATTTACTTAATAATTTATTTGCTTGGATTTTGAGATTTATGCTATCCTGCTGATCTAGGTAATTATACATCATAGTATGGGACAATCAGAGCCAGGCTGTATTTATCTCTCTCCATGGTACTAGCTTACAGATAATAAACAATAATGCCAGTTTGCCAAAAGATTCATTTATTATGCAGTTAGTAATTTATTAGTAGTTATTGATAATGTATGTGGTCAGTCCTGCTTGTAGCATAAAAAAAAGTTGTTTACACTTCCGATTTTAGAGATGCAGAAGTTTTGTCTAATGTACTACAATAGTAATAGTAATTACAAATGTATTACAATGTATTACATATAATTCTCACATTGAAAAGGCAACGAAAATGAAAATAAAATTAGATCGATTTTATGCCACGTACTTTTTGGAAAAAAAACTCTGATAATCAGGAGCTCTGAATTACCCTCTAAAAAAAAGATTGCCTTCCCGGGGTTATATTTCAGTTTATCGCTAGCACAGAGTGAAGGAGTCAAAGTGTCAGGCAGAACCAGAACTACTGTGCATCCATCCTGCTTCTGAATCCCACATCCCATGAAAAATGTGTTTTCCTGGCCAGTTCCCAGAATCACAGATTACTTTGGGCCGGAAGGGAGCTGAAAGGCCACCCAGTCCAACCCCCCGCAATAAGCAGGGGCACCTTCCCCTCGATGCTGTGGCTCGGAGCCTGATGCACAGCATCGCGCTGCCCCCGCCCCGCCCGGGACAGTCCCGGGGCCGGGCAGGTGCTGAGTGCTGAGCTCTCAGCCCCAGCAGGAGCGCAGATACCCACGATGGTCCACCTGGGATCTCTGTCCCCATTGCTGCGCTGCCGGACGGCGGGAGGAGATGTGAGTCCAGGTAAAGCACAAACCTCTTCCAATGCTCCGGCTTCCGACTCTTAAACCATCCTCTGCTGTTCGCGTCACCTGTTTCTTGCTGCCCAGATCGAGTCGGACTCGGCTGTAACTCTCAGAATCCAGCAAAGGAGCGGTGCCGGCACATCCCCCCGCAAGGACAGCGCATCCCGCCGCTCCGGGAGCCGCACCGCCGCCGCCGGGCTGGAACAGGTCGGTGCGTCCCTGATCCCCCTTCACAGCTCTCCCTCCAGTCGGGAACGGGGGTGCCTTTTGCTTTTCGGGGAGCACACCGAGGGCACCGGCTCCCTCCGAGAGCAGGACACCGTCAGTCCGAGCAGCCCCGGCCCAGAGGCACCGCCGAGCGCCGGCGGGGAAGGGACCGGGCAGCGCCCCTGGGCTCCCAGGAGAGCGCTGTCCCCATGGGATGGCTTTGGGGGGAGTCCCAGGCTGAGCGCTGTTCCCCTGGGATGCCTGGGACTTCGGGGAAGCTCCAGGCTGAGCACTGTCACTCTGGGATGGCTGTAGGGGAGCCCCAGGCTAAGCATTATCACCCTGGGATAGCTGGGCACTTCGGGGGAGCCCCAGGCTGAGTGCTGTCACCCTGGCATGGCTGGGCATTTCAGAGGAGCCCCAAGCTGAGCGCTGTCCCCGCACGGCACTCCCATGATGCGGGAGGAGGGAAGGAGCAGCCACTGGGACACTTGGCTGCTGGCTAAGCCCTTGGTGATCTTCCCTTGCTGCCATCAGGGTGCCATGGGAAGCATACGTGAGATTTTGGCAGTTGGGTGTGCCAGAGGAGACAGCCTTGCGAAGAGCAGAGGTCTCACTTATTTTTCCCCACTTTCAGGCCATCCTTACCACCACTGAGCCTAGCCATCCTCTCCTGTAGCCATGGAGAACTTCTCCCTCCCTGAAACCAATTCCTCATGTGCAGACTGCACTGAAAGAGGACATGGGAGTCTGAATATGTCCACTACTCCAGTAAGCCCCAGGTACTACATCACAGTGCCTGTCATCTACTCCATCATCTGTGCCGTGGGACTGACAGGCAACACTGCTGTCATCTATGTCATCCTCAAAGCACCAAAGATGAAAACAGTAACCAACATCTTCATCCTCAACCTGGCCATTGCTGATGAGCTCTTTACCTTGGTGCTGCCCATCAACATTGCTGACTACCTGCTCCTGCAGTGGCCCTTTGGAGAGCTCATGTGCAAGCTCATCATCTCCATAGACCAGTACAACATCTTCTCCAGCATCTACTTCCTCACTGTCATGAGCATTGACCGCTACCTCGTTGTGGTGGCCACCACCAAGTCCAGGAAGGTGTCCTACCGCACCTACAGAGCAGCCAAGATTGTCAGCCTCTGTGTCTGGTCGTTTGTCACCGTCATCATCCTGCCCTTCGCTGTCTTTGCCAAGATACACGAGGAGCAGGGGCGCTCCCACTGCGTCTTCGTGTTCCCCCACCCCGAGAGCGTGTGGTGGAAAGGCAGTCGGATCTACACCCTTATTTTAGGCTTTGTCATCCCAGTGTCCACCATCTGCACCCTGTACACCACCATGCTGTGCAGACTGAGACACATGCAGCTCCACTGCAATGCAAAAGCTCTGGACAAAGCCAAAAAGAAGGTGACGCTGATGGTGGTTGCTATCCTGGGTGTGTGCCTGCTCTGCTGGACGCCCTTTCACCTTAGCACAGTGGTGGCCCTCATCGTGGACATCCCACAAACTCCCCTGGTCATTGGGATTTCCTATTTCATCACCAGCCTAAGCTATGCCAACAGCTGCTTCAACCCTTTCTTGTACGCCTTTCTGGATGAAAGCTTCCGGAGGAGCTTTCGCAGACTGATCGATCGCAGGGCCACCTCATAAAGCCAGCCCAGCCCTCTCTCCTGTCCTGTCCTGTGTCCTGTCACAGTCACCTGCTCTTCCTGGGTCATTCCAGCCCACAGAGTGCTTTCTCTCCAGTCTCCTCATGATGGCCCACTGGGCTTCAGGTTGTTGCCCTACTCAAGACATGAATTGGGGACAGGTAGATCTTTCTCACCTCCTGCACTCATTTCCTTAGTGCTGCCCTGGCTTTTTGTTAGTTTGTTGTTGGTTATTTTTAATTCCTTTTCTCTAGTGCTCTTTCTGACCTGTGTCTGGAGCTCACAGAGCTGCCACAGGTCCCTTTTCCCTTTTGAAAGGCATTGCTTTGTGAACTCAAGCCACATGACTGTCTAAATTATCAGTGATTTGTAAAGCTCAATAAAAGTGTGGTACCAAGTGTCTTGCTTAGTAATACCACAGCCTCTTCCCTACCTACAGGACCTGCTTACCAAAGTCTTGCAAACTTAGCAACAACTCCAAAGGATAACAAATAAACAAAGGTATTGAGCTCATTTCACTTTAAAGGAGAGTAAGATAAGGCAGTCAAAATCCATGAGAACATGTAAGAGAGATATCAGTCTGAACTTTAAAGAAAAAAAAGCAACCCCTCCCTAGTGAATAAAAGACACAGATATGGGTTTAGAGCCACTTGCTGCAGAAAATAGCTTAACAGTACACTCGGTCATTGTAGTTTGTAAAAAATGCAACTTTTGTTTATATCAGAAGTGGTGATTATTATTTGTCATGTGTTTATGGGCTGCTGCACTTACAGATATTTATTTTGTGGTCCTAGAAAACAGAATCAGAGGCTATCTTCAGAACCAGTAATCTTTTAAGGGTTTAAAAAGGTCCTTCTGAAAACATGGGAATAACCTGAGTTCTTCCCTTAGAAATCACAAATAACCACTTGCAGTGGTTAGGCTACTTTTAAACTATCTCTCACATACTTCCACCTTTTGGTAAGATTTATTAATATTTCTCTTAAAAAGGAGAAGTGAAATAAAAATAAATTTTAAAAAAATACACAATAGATAAGTGAATTTTGCCTGAAGGAGGAGAGAGAGGGTGTATGAAAGTTTTACTAGAATTCACATGTCCAAACTCTGTAAGAGGAGGATTCTTCCTCTGGTCTCATCTCCTCTTTTAGCTCTCTAAGGAAAGCTGCAAAAATGTTGATGACTGAGAAAGTGTTTGCAATCAGTTAATATTTCTCACCTTAGTGGTCTTCACTGCACTTCCCTGCAGCAGATTCTAAATCAGTGTAACACAATTTTTGTTAGATATTTTCCCCTCCACTGAACACAGAGAGATTGGGAGATGTGGTTAAGGATTTGCATTTCCACCCACACAGGAGGTCCTGATGGCTGTCAGGGGGTGCATGAGGATTTGTATGGCACATGCAGGTTGCTCCTGTGAGATTTTGCACCAGCTCCTTTCCCATTGCTGCAGTTTAAAGTTCTGCCATAGGCATATGGAAAGTTTCTTTCACTAGATCCTCCCACAAAAACTCCAAATAAAAATTTTCCTCACAGATTTCAGCCATTATGCACGCCTGATACTTTATAATAACATACAACTGTGTTGTATGTTAAATCATTTCTCCTTATAGACATTAATATTCCCTGAGACAGTCAGTGCTAAGTTCAACACCCAGTTTAGCTGTTATGGAAATGGAAGGACTCCTCTGGGAAATGACAGTGTTGTTCTGTTTCCCTGGGGGCTGAATGATCTGACTTCCATCAGACACAGAAGCTGGTGTTTGAAAGAGCAAGCCCAAAAGGTGTGGAGTACCCATTTCCACACTGCATAGAAAAAATGTGCTTCAAGAACCAGTGTTTATCTTTCTACCTGAAAGAAAAACAGGCAGAAAGATAAATTAGCTTTTCCCATCAGCTGCCTGGTGATCGGTCACTTGCCATGGAGAGAGAATTTAGTCTGTATGGATCAAGCATCAAAATCTCTCTTTAAGCTGCTGCTACACACACTACCTCTCTTGTACTCTTTAGTCATCATCTTCACAAGAACATTATTTGCTTAAAGACTACATACAGCTTGAAAAGTAAACAGTTCTATTCTCAGAAAAGACATGCAGCAACATTGTGCTCTCATGGATGTGATCCTTCCCTGAAAACTGACAAATGGCAGGAAAATAAAATTCCCTGTCCAACAGTCACATTAGTGGCACAGATTTGAACATTTTTTGTGACACCAACCACCCAAGTGCTTTGGTCATGCTTTTATGCAGCTACATTTGTCTCATCACTTGTCAGGGCTTCTTTTTACCCCAGAAAAGTCACTGAAACTTCAGTAGCTTTGCTGTGCTTCTGAAAAATCTGCTCTGTACCTATACATCAAACGTGTTTCTAAGATGCTGATTGGTAGTAAGTTACAAGAACAGTCTGATTAGTCCATTTTTATCTATATTTGATTACCAAAATTTTAACTTTTCCTGAACAATCTTATCTGGTTCACGCTCTTAAATAAATAAACAAACAACTTTCTAATCTATATCAATGTGGAGAGGGTTCTTCAAAATCTTTATATTTCTCAGGAAATGGGAAGGCATTTTAAAATATGCCTTTCCTCTTAGACAATGTTTCATTTCATTGTCTTCCCTGTCATGGACATCTTTTATGAAAAATCCTTTCCTTAGGATTTTTCCTCCTGAGAAGCTGAGAGGCCTCAGGAACAAAATGTAAACAATGGTTATCTGCTGCTGTGGAATGCAACAGATGGCTTTGTGATTGGTCTTATGTGGTTGTTTCTAATTAATGGCCAATCACAGGGAGCTGGCAGGGACAGAGAGTCAGAGCCACAAGCCTTTGTTATTCATTCCTTCTTTTTCTATTCTTAGCTAGCCTTCTGACGAAATCCTTTCTTCTATTCTTTTAGTATAGTTTTAATGTAATATATATCGTAAAACAATAAATCAAGCCTTCTGAAACATGGGGTCAAATCCCCGCCTCTTCCCTCAACGTCGGACCCCTGTGAACATGGTCGCACTTCCCCATGCTCATTTTTCATTTTCCAAGGGGGAAAATATGAGAAGAACTGTCTAATAGCAAATTTCACTTTGAGGTGTCTTGGACTGCTTGTCTTTTTTCTATTAGAATCATAAAAATGCAAACAGAACACCACTCATGGTGAGGTTATCCTTTGTTGGAGATTTTTTCAGAAATGGCTTAAAAGGCAGCTGTGAGGAGCAAATTCTCACGGCCTGTTTCTGTAAACAGCAGGAGTTCTCAGGTTGTTTTTAATAACAAGTAAATATCTTGTCCTTGGATAAGGTGTGGGAAAGCAAAAGTGACAAACATGAAGGCCTTGAGAACCTTTCATACCAGGGTTCTCAGGCAGTTTTCTCATAACAGGTAAATATTCTATCTTTGGCTGTTTTGGGAAAGTAAAAGTAAGTTTTGAGAACAAAAATCTTGGTATTGAAAACAAAAGGAGGGGTTGGTGTGTTATCTCTGACCTATGATGAGCTCGGATTTTGCAATATGCATGAACTTAAATAACGCTGCTATAAAAAGTGACTGATTGAATCAATAAACGAAGTCAATGCTGACCAACAAAGGTGGGTCGTCTTCCTTCACTTCAATAATCCTTCACTAAATTCCTCCTCATTCTGAAGCCACATCTTAGCTGTTCTTCATCGTAGGGTGAACATCTGAGAAGAATTCACTGTTTCTCCAAGTGCCTGGAGTTTTCCCAGGGTTGTTGGTCACAGCGCTGGCTGAGGCTGGAGCAAAGCCCAGCTCTCACAGGGGTGCTCAGCTCAGTCTCAGGCCCCGGGCAGTGCCACCTTGCACAACTCTGCTCTCTGCAGTGTCTGTGACTCAACTGGGAGCCTTTCACTCCGTGGGCATTGCAGGCTGACTCCACTTGGAGGAGGAAGTTGAGCCTGGAGAGCCTGGGGAGGATTTTCATTGTTAGGTAATGCCCCCTCTCATCTTGCAGGGCTTCAATATAGGAACACAAGTTCTTCTCTCAGCCTATGGCCTTTTCATTTGGGACAGAGAACATTCTGGCAGAGCCTATATGTGACCCAAACCAGCATTCAGCAGGAGAGGGGGAGGCTCAATTTTCAATACTGCTGGCAGCAAGGATAACTTGGTGTTGTATAGAAGCTGAACTTCAGCTCCCAGAGCAGGAATAGGTGATAATATAAAAATAAATGTATCCCACTTAAACATATCTTTTTTATTTCTGGAGGACGAAATAAAAATGCTCCTCTTCAGCCCATGTTTAACCAGCTATAATGAACAGTGGCACATTGTGAAACAGCAGAGTTGCTGTAAGGCAGGATTTTTTATATATGGAAGTGTTTTATATGTATGAAAATTAGTAAAATAAAATTGAATCCTTTTTCCCCTCAGCATAGCTATAACTTGCAATAGATATTGTAGATATTTGATATAGACTTCCAGAGGAAAAACAGAAAAAACAGAAAAACTGATTCCATAAATGAATAAATAAAATAGAATTAAATTTTCTGGCTGCTTATGCTTCATAATAAATAGAATAGAATTAAATTTCCTGGCTGCTCATGCTTCATCCTTCCCCTCTGTTTGTACCACCCTGAATGATGTTAAATTCAGCATTTTGAACTTTTGGCCACTAAGAGGTGGGGGTGGGTAGGGATTCTTGGAAGGGGGAACAAGGTGGAAGGAGTAGACAGGGCTGTGTTCTCAGGGCTGTGGTTAGTTAGAGTATAAGGAGCATACACCTGTATAATGCCTGATGCCTTGCTCTGAGGAAAGCAGGGATGGGAAAAGTTCTGGGACCCAGAAGGGTATGAACCTTGGATAAGCACAAAGGATAACACCAGGTGTTTTCTGGTTTGATTGCAGTAAAGCTTCATAAGGCAAGAGAGAACTGTGTCATTCCTTATCTGCTTAAGTCACCATTCAGTTTCTCACATGCCAAAAAAATGTGCTTAAACAGAACCAGCCTCCAGCTTGTGGCACACTGTCAGCACCAAATCTTCTCAATGCCTTGTAAAAGCCATGCACAGCTTTTCATGGACATCTCCCTGTAGTTTCTCTACAGCAAGCTATGGACAGCCAGAGGGTGACACTGTGTGTGATTGTCAAGCACCCCTTCAGCCAAGAACCCATGGGTCCCTTGGTGGCTGAGACACATCCTGGGAACTCTGGTTAAAGACATCTGGCAAAACAGATATTCCCTCAGGACCACGAGTTTTCTATAAATTTTGTTTAAAAATCACCCAGCATACTTTCAGAGCAATAGCATTTTTGCCTGGCTACTCCTGATCCAGCTGCCCCAAACCCAAAGCTGATGTTGACCACCACTCCTGTGCTTCCAGTTCCAGAATGTTTCCAATTCCTCCTTCTTTTTTATCAATGAAAAAGATACTTTTTTTCTAACTTGAGAGAAAAATCTTCCACCCTTTTCTTGTACTTTGCCAAAATAAGTATGCCCACTAAAAAAAAAGTTAATACTCTATTTTTAAGTCTAATATTTTAGCAATATTTTTGTCATAAAGACTTTATCTTAAAAGAAGGATACACTAATTTTACTGAGTTATATTTGAGCAGATGGAGCTTTTCTCTATGAGTTCAGAAGCTCTGGAATTTTCAGAGCCTGGAAATGTAGTAAACATTCCCTTTCCAGAGACGATTTCCATGAGGCTCCTTTCAGTGGCATGACATCCAAAATATTTTTTAAAAATTGCTGATTAAACACAGTGGGAAAAAGGATCTTCTATTCACCCAGTGCAGACAGCAGAAGAAACAGCAGTTTATAGGCTTGAATTTAACAGACCAACATTTAGTCTAACATTCATGCTGTTGTTGAACACACACAGCACAACATGCAACTGGCAAATGCCCTGTGAGTGTTCACACGTACAAAGTAGACAAGTTAGCATTAAAAGACTGTGATTCTTTTGCTCATTCTGGTAAGCAGCTGCTGATATGAGCAGCTCAATCATGACAGGAGAATAATTCTGTTCTTAATCCTGTCTGAGTGCCAATTGCTCATCAGTGTCAGTAAAGATCTTTCAGACAACCCCATCCAAGTTACAATGTTCCCCAGCCCCCTCAGCTTTTTTAGTCTCTCTCTGCTTCAAAATAGTTCCACTATGGAGAGTAGAAAAATTTTCTTTCTCAACAGAGCAAGACTTTTACATTGTTTTGCCAATTTAAAGCATGATTGCAACACAAGGCAACGTCTTTTTCTGCTTTACAAAGTAAAAGAAATTAAATTATACATAAGTTTTATATATTTTCCATTTTTCCCGCCTTCATTCATAGTCATCTTTAGGAGGCATGAAGAAGACATACAAACCACCAACTTATTGCTATTTGAAGCCTCATAAATGCTTCCAAAATCTTTTTCTACTTACAAAACCTTTATACCACCAGAGGGAGTTCAAAGACAAATTATTCAGCAAATGTACTGAGCGGAAACGAGTTTGTGCTGTCATGCCTGACACTAAGTATGCAGTTTTCTATGTAAGGTGTCTTTTCCTCAAATTTTATTCAATTCACTATGCTATGATAAACAGAATTATAATAAAATAGCTTTAATAAAGGTCGGCATTTTCTAGAGGCATGATCCTAAGCTTACTTGCAAATTTCCTGTTTCTTTTTAAGCATCTGCTTTCAGTGTACAGTTAGAATTCTCACAAGGAAGAATGATGTCTGGATGCAGACACAGCAGGTCCTGCACATTCCCACTTGCAGTCAGTCAGCCCCCAGGGCCGGTATCCCTGACATAGAGAAGCAGCTGTGTCAGTTTGCAGAGGCCAACTCTCCTGCACCCCATTCCTCAAACCAGGGCAGCCCCGAGGAGCCCCAGCAGCCTCTGGGCAAGGATTTGTGTGTCTCTGTACTCTGCTTCACACTGTTTTCATTAGCTGGAAAATTCTTCCCCATTTGCATTTTCCTGTCCGTGGTTCCTATTATGCCCAGACTGTGTTTAATATTTTGGACACTTCCCTTCCTTTCAGCTTTCAGCCCCGAGATGGCACTGGTTCTTCACTGACAAACCATCACTGTTTTCCTAAACCAGAGTTAAAGAATAAAAAACCATGTTCCCAAGAGCTAATTTGGACACTGTGTTCGAAGATAATACAAATCAGCAAAGGCAAACAAAAATACTGTTTCTCTTATTGTAAAATATATATAAAATAACATGAATCCTTATATATTTTTTTTAAATGGAGATTAGTACTTTTTAACAGGTATTGGTTGAACAAATTGTGCTGAAATCATAGAACTAGTTTGGGTTAATCCTACATTACAATTACCTTATGCTCTCAGATTCAAATTTTTAGTTCAGACACTAGGCAGAGCAGTAAGGGAAGAGATTCTCAACTGAAATTCTCAAGTCCTTAAAGAAAACTGGGGATTTTATTTAGAGAATATAAGTCCAAAATATTCAATTTTTAAGGTGTATATTGATGAAAAGAAAAGCTGTATGATTCTAATAAGGAGAAAGTAGCTTAATACTTTAAATACTCACCAGAGTCCTCAGGAGCTGTAAGTAGTGCAATGGGCTTGGATACAGCTAGTGTGATTGTCATAAATGAATAGCCAACAGTGCAAGCTGTCTTTATAGAATATTACAGGCTCAGGTGTTGCTAGAGTCCCT